AGGTAACACATCCAAACTGGACTTCAATTTCTTTAAAGAATAGGTGAAAAATAGAAAAAAATTCAGAACGGTCTTTCATTAGAACAATCCAAGTCATCCTTGAATAGTCATCAACAAAGGTAACAAAATATGAAAAACCCAAGTTACTGACATGACGTGCAGGACCTCATATATCCGTGTGCACCAATTCAAACAAATATGACCAACGATTATCGACGTGGGGAGGAAAAGAAACTCTATGATGCTTGCCCAATTGACACGACTCACAGTCTAAATTAGACACTTGACTCAAGAAAAGGTAAAGCAGACTTCAAGTACCTCAAAGAGGGATGACCTAACCGATAATGCCACTGGTGGGCAGAGACTCGTGAATGGAGAGCCGTCCACTAGTAGATGACTCACAATCCAAGTGGAGACCATTTTTCGCAATGCCACCACCAATTGTCTTCTACGTTTTGAGATCCTGAAAGACACAAAATGAAGGGTAAAAGGTCATAGAACAATTGAGTGTTTATCTTGCTCACAGACAATAAGTTAAAAGGAAATTGAGGTACGAGTTACCCATTAGGTAATGAAATAGAAGAGGTTGGCCTAATTGTACCCTAACCAATAATACGACGAGTTCTACCATCTGCCAAAGTAACAAACGATGTGGAATTGGATTTGTGTAAGTGCGAAAATAGAGATTCATTACCCGTAAGATGAGTAGATGCCCCATAATCAAGAACCCAAGGTGAAGATGAGTACAACACTGTCAATAGAGTTTTGTTGGGCCTGGTTGAGATAGTGTGACACTATCACTAGGATTGATGGGGACAGAACTTGGAAGACCTTGTGTCAATAATGAATCCATGACTTTGCTTGGCCTCTGTAAGTGCTGCCAAACCGTAGACACTCCAGTCGGAAAATGGGTTTGATTGTAGGGATGATGCGAATATTGTGAGGCCTTGTAGGTGTAGACCTTGAAAAAAAAAAAAACACTACAGCCAATTTGATAACAGTGCTGGAGATAAAGGTGAAATTGGGCAGAATATTCTTCTAAGGCCCGGCGTAGAAGATGGGAGAATGCAGGAAGGGAGGTAAAAAACAAAAAAAAAACAAAAAAAAAACAGATGGTTACTGTTTTTTTTTTTTTTTTTTCAAAACAGAAGCTTACTGTACCGGAAGAAAAATTCAGAGACACAATAAACTGGAGTTGAACCAGGTCAGATCTCAACCGAGTCTGAAATGTTTCGGATCTGGTGACCGGGTCGGATTGCAACCGGGTCGCTTCAATGGCGCCATTTTGGGTCTAAGTAAAACTGGTTTGGACTACTCAATTTCTGTAGCCAAACGCTCCTTGTCTTCCTCACAAGCTAACAGATCCGGCGAGCACATAGCGATGGCGACTGCAACGGTAACCCAACACAAGCAGCGACCTAACAACAAGCAGTGACCCAACATCGAGCAACGCTAACAATAGAAATCAGCAAGCTCGCCAACGGCCAAAGAAGCCCTAACCACCGAACTGCGTTGGCAACAACACCGACCAACCGAACACAAAGAGGTTGTCACGGCAACACAAACAGCGACTCAACAACAACAAACCGAGCTCGCCGATGGCCACGAGATACAAGACGATCTGAAATATCACGATCGGTCTGAAATATCACGATCGGAAAATAAATTCTCGATGACAGTTGAAGCCAACACACAAAGGGGAAAATGAGTCCTCTGCAACAGCAAACAGAGCGGTGGTCGTTGAAGAAAAAATTCTGGCGAAAGAACCGATGAAACCTTTGCGGATGGGACCTCTATAATTCTGTAACTCTGCAAGCAAATCAAACCCACAAGCTAGTAAACACTCTAGAACTTCGGTGGAGCCACAATGGTCGGATCGTTGCTCTGATACCATAACATGGAAGCTGTATTTCTTATTATTGAACCCTAACAAATACAATGCTTACATACATGATAAGAATGGCCTATCTACAATATGGCCCGCATATTATAAGAAATTACAATTATGGCACAAACATAAATAAATATGTTCTAACACCTTGAACACAATCATCGGTCATTCTGTTATAACTGCTACCAACCAGCACCTCATCCACTCCACATTCAAAAGACCTGCGCAGGCCACTGTCCTCCATATCTTCACCATCTTCCCACACCTTCGTCACCTCCGATCTTGCCTTAGCCCCCTCACAGTGGAGTTTCAGATCAGCACATAGTGCTTCAGCCGCTTCTTTATCAATTATTAATTGAGTCCCAAGACTCACACACAGAATGAAGCTCCCGTCATGACGACCACTTGGGAGAATCTTTAACAATCCCCCATGATCAATATCATTAATGGAACCATAACAAGTAATGGCCCCTGTATTCCTTGAAGATTCTGAAATTTCCCCACTTTCATCCTCCGACCTGCCATCAGATTCCTCCTCAGAAACTGGTGACAACCTTTGAAAATCCGGCAAAGAACACCCATGCACCTCCCCAACATCACTCCTCAACACCCCCAAAGGAGGATTAGAAGTAGAAGAAGTGGAGAGAGAGGAGGAATTTTTGATCGGTTCAGAGCACATACCAGGGATGTGATTAGCTTGGTTATAAGTATATGATATATAGATTATAAAGTTCACACTACAGTCGTGCAATATTAAATCTAGTCTTTTCTTTTTTTGTTTTTTTATTTTATTTTTTATAAGTATAGATTCTATAAAAAGTGTTCAAAAGGGGAATGCATCCCCCGAAAACTACAAATGGCCAAATAGGGCCCCTAAACCCTCGAAGAGTTGAAAAGATCAACAAGCTCCAAATATTTACAATTTCTCCCAAGAACCCAACAAAAAGGGGAACTAATAGTGGAGAACTTTAACATTCCAATAGGATTCTCCCTTCATTCGAAGGATGTCCTATTTCTTTCAAGCCATAAACACCACTAGACGCACAAAGGCGTAGCCCTCCAGAAATCACGAACTTGGGCGCCCACTATACAACCTCTCCAAGCCTCAACCAAGTCTCTGGAAGACTTGGGCATAACCCACCGAACCCAAACAAGCCCAACATCAAAATCCTGCAATCCCGGGCCACTGGGCAACACAAAAGAAGGTGATCAACCATTTCATCATCATTCTTGCACATGTAACACCGATTGACCACTATGTGTTTCCTCCTCTTCAAGTTATCTTGGGTCAAAAATAGAAGTCCATGCAAAGAACGCCACTTTGAGAGGGGCCATGAACGCTAAATGGCCCTCCAAGGAAAGGGCGTCCTTGGGGCTTCCAACACACACCGGTAAAAAGACCTAACATCAAAGTGATGCTTAGAAGAGGGAACCCACACCCAAAGATCTGAAACCTCACCCACCATCTCCTGGCGATAAAGCAGCTCCAAAAAACCAAAAGCATCCTCAATCTCCCAATCTTGTATATTCCTCAAAAAATCCTACTGTACTTTTTGTTGATAGGTAAAAAGACTCATTGTACTATTAATTATTAGGATGGGAATTTTATATTGAAATATGGACATGTATACTTGCATGCTACATATATGCATTCATAGTTATAAGTAAATTGAATCTTTAATATCAACCAAGAATAACATTTGTGCATGCAACTTGTCATGACAATGAAATCCTTAACCAGCATTTCAAATGAGCTGCCTATCTCACTTGATTACTAATTACTTAATCAAAAGGATTTTATAATGTAAGATGTATTATTTGTTTGCAAAAACAAAAGGCTTTAATTCAGGTGTTGGTTCCTGTTAGTGAAGGATGTTAAGAGGGGTGAACTGGGGGTATAGATTATGGGTGCCCAAAAAACCGGTTGAACTGGTAAACCGGACCGGTCAGTTTGGTCCGGCTTTTCATGGTCCGGCCTTGTTCCAGTTTCAAAAAAGGTAACCATTAGTTAGTGGTTCAGTTCTTGGTTTGGGGCCCTGCAAGACTGAACCTAACCAAACCATTAATAAAATATGTAAATATATATTTATGTATTTTACATGAGCCAATGATATACCTATGTTTAATTAGCTTGAGAACAAAGTAGAATTTAAATATAAGAAATCCAAATTATCGAAAGGCCAGAACCGTGGAACCGAACTGCGGCCTCAGTTTGGTTTGGTTTGGTTCAGCTCTAACGGTTCTTGACTCCTTGCAGTCTGGTTTGGGACCGGTTTGATCCTGTTTCATACCAGAACCGGTCCAAACAGGACCATGTGCACCCCTAATATAGACCTAACCTTTGACATTGTTGGGAGAAAATGGCCATCGTTAGGCTTGAACCTGCATTCTCACACTTTGTAGCTTGACCTTTAATTGCATCTAATAATGACACTTGTAAGTATTACAATATCTTCTTTTTTGTTTTTCTTTATTTTTTTTGGGGGGGGGGGGGGGGGGGGGGGGGGGGGGTGGGTGTGGGCGGGGGGCAGGAAGTTGTGTAATTGCCGGGAAAAAAGACCACTGAAGTCAAATGAAAAAATAATAATAATAATTACAATTTTATTAAATATTAACTAATATACTCTGTATCTTATAATTATTAAATATTAGAGGGTTGACTGGAATATTAGAGGGTTGTCTTATGCCTTGTGGTATACTCCTTGCCTTGCACAATGTAAAACTACTTGCCTTGCACCTCTGTGATTTTCAGCCTCAAAAAGAAAGTTGTCTGACATGGTGACCACAAAACCAACTGAACAGACGATAATTTGATAACCTTGACAGTGTATGTCAAAAAAGTGCCAATAACGCTATACAAATTTCTGCAATATGCACCAACTAGTGTTCTTTTTGTCTAATAGGCAAACCCAGTGCATGAGGCTTCCACCATTGTGGGGTTTGGGGAGGGTTAGATGTACGTAGCCTTACCTCTGCATGCGGAGAGGCGGTTTCCTTGTTTCTTTTTGTCTAAGGACAGAATTGCTATTAGATTTATTTTTCTGCACTAACTTAAAAAAAAAATAAAAAAAAAAGAGAAGATATTATTCTTTTTCATTTTGTTATTCAGGGTTCTCCAGATCTGAAAGCTGCAAGGGAGGTAGCAGATTATCTTGGCACTCGTCATCATGAGTTTCATTTTACTGTTCAGGTATCTTTTCTATTTTTAGTTAAAAATACAAAGCATTTGTTATGTCTATCCTCTGTACTTCAGGATTAATTTTTGGTTTGGTTGCTTATCAGGAAGGCCTTGATGCACTTGAGGAAGTCATTTATCATATTGAAACATATGATGTGACCACTGTCAGAGCCAGTACTCCAATGTTTCTTATGTCTCGAAAAATAAAATCATTGGGTGTAAAGATGGTCCTTTCTGGGGAAGGTTCAGATGAAATATTTGGTGGTTATCTTTATTTTCACAAAGCACCTAATAAGGAGGAGTTTCATGAGGAAACATGTCGAAAGGTATTGCATATGAGCAGTGTTTTTTTGGTATGGATGTCAAAGTAAAGGATGGTACATAGAATAGATCAGATCTGTTGCACTTCCTATATACCTTTCTGTTTCTGATGTCTGCTTCAATATTGAATCAGATCAAAGCACTTCATCTATATGATTGCCTGAGGGCTAATAAATCAACTTCAGCATGGGGTGTTGAGGCTCGTGTACCCTTCTTGGATAAAGAATTTATCAACTTAGTGATGAGCATTGATCCAGAGTGGAAAATGGTAAAATACCAGACTAGTGAATTTTGGTTTACGTTATTTCTCAGTTTAGCTTAGTGTGATCCGATTCCATTTGCCTATCTTTAATAGTGGCTTCTGGCTATTTAAAATAAAGTTTAACCAAAATTATGTATTGTGGTCATGAATATTAAGAGACTTCTGAAGATTTTAAATTTAATGTCGTCATTGGGCTATAATGTCTAGGTATCAATCGAAAGTTATCTGAACTTAGTCCGACTGAGCATTTGATGACTGTTTCAATGTTGTCATGTGGTCTGCAAGTAAAAGGTCTTCTTGGCAGTCATTATACATTCTATCAGATGGAGGTTCTCTTTAGTTTTGTGCAGTTAAACATCTCCTGTTCTTTTACTTGCCAAAATCATCTCCAATTTTGTTACTTGTCTAAGTTGTTTGGGCGCTTGTAAAATAAGCAATTATCAAACTTCTAAATATTTATGATGTACGCCTAATAGTTATTATATCCAAAACATTACAGATCAGGCCTGATCTTGGAAGAATTGAAAAGTGGGTTCTACGTAATGCATTTGATGATGATCAGACGCCATATCTCCCAAAGGTTTGTTCCCTCCAACTTTTTCAACCAGTCCAATATTTGTGCTTGTAAGTTCTAATTATTTACCTCTGATCGGGAACAGTTGTCAGACTACTTCCATTTCATGATTAAAAGATTACATAATTCAGGACTGGGTTGTTGAATTTTTTTTTTTTTTTTTCCTTTTCTTCTTTGGCTCTATAGCACATATTGTACAGGCAGAAGGAGCAGTTCAGTGATGGAGTTGGGTACAGTTGGATTGATGGATTGAAGGATCATGCAAACCAACATGTATGGCATTTTCTTAACGTGGGCTAATGGTGATAGTTTTGGATTTCTTTGGCTCAGCCATACTACTGCGTTGCTTCTTTCATTCCAGGAATTATAGCTAGTCATTTTTGTTAGTCCATACAAAAATGACTGATATTTTCATCAACTTTAGGGATGTCTTTTCACCACTTACATATAATTAACTGGTATTTTCTTGTGCTCTAATTTTAAATGGGCAGGTCACAGATGCGATGTTGTTGAATGCAAGCTTTGTTTATCCTGAAAATACTCCTACTTCAAAAGAAGCGTACTACTACAGGACCATCTTTGAGAGGTTCTTTCCCAAGGTTGGAGTTTTGCAATTGCTCTTTTTTCTTATTTTATTTGGCAACGATATAAAAAGATTTCTTTTGCTCTTTAGTTTCTTTATTTTACTATTCATTTTAAAGATTTAAAACTATGTATCTGCCATACATCCTCATGAAAACTTCTCTATTCAATTTGATTCATAGAGAATATATGAAAATGAAATAGAAAGCTTGGATTAAATGGATGTCATGAAATTCCAAATATTATTCATTTTAATAAATCTTTATGGGAATTAAATAAGGCATTCGATTAAAAGAATATCGTCTAATGTTTTAACTGTGATACTTTAATTCATTTTGTGCTTTATTCTATATTTTTTTACTTGAATTTCCTATTTTGATCAGAATGCTGCAAGATCTACAGTTCCTGGAGGTCCTAGTGTGGCCTGTAGTACCGCAAAAGCAGTTGAATGGGTTGCAGCATGGTCAAAGAATCTTGACCCATCTGGCCGTGCTGCTCTTGGTGTTCATGAAGCTGCATACGAGGAAGCGGGGGAGGCCCAGAATGCCCGGGTGATAAATGGTGCCCATCAAAAATTACCGCAAGGTGTTGTAGAGAGTGCTGCAGCAGTTGTTTGATCGTATATTCTATTGCATTCTCGTTTCTCAGGTGATCGCAACATCAGGAAGGTAATTACATATAGTAATAGAAAAACAATAGCATTAAAAGAAGACTCGTACAAACAATAAAGGAAAAGAGGAAATCGAAATGCAATGCAATGACATACCAGTGAAAGTATTTGACATTAAGCATATTAGGTGATGTCTTTTGTTCTGATTTTATGGCAGGTTCCGGATTGACGGCAACTAGTGATTAAGTTATATGGATCTACATGCTACCCTAGGTTTTTAAAAGCCTGTTTTGTATTTAAGTTCCATTTTTGGGGGGTATTATTTGTTAGGCAATGTAGAAGCTGTGTTCTCATGATGATCTTCTTACTTCGGTGTTTTGGATGCTATACTTGTTTGTGAAATCAGAACTACTTTTATGTTTTCTCAGTACTGTATGCAACCTTGCTCCATTAGCCAGCTTCTTGAAATGCTCCTCTCCCTAAGCAATTCAGTAGCATAGAAGAGAAATTACATGTTTTTATGGGAGAGGTGTATTTAACATTTTGGTTTTTATTTTTTAAAAACAATTTGGTTTGATCATATTAATTATTATATTGGGAGAGGTGAATAGCTCTTTAAATTAGTATACATTCTTTCTTTCAGTGTTGAATATAAGACAACAGTGCTTGTTTGAAAGGTCATTGTGTAGAGATCAAATAACACTAATGGACACAACTTTTCTTCAGTGGTATCTAAAGTGGAAATAATTTCAGTTTTGTGGAAACAATCATTAGACTCCATTGGGATTTCAAATATTTTAGATTATTGTTAGGTTCAGTTACTTAAAATAAAATTTAAAATTAGATTTAAGGGTTTTTGAAATTTGTACGGTTTGTTTTATAAATCGAAAAGATGTTCAGAAATTTAAATTCAATTGGAATAAGGGTTTTTTATTACTTGAAAATTTTCCTTTGGACATACGATTAGATATTCAGGGGAACCTACGCCTGTTATTAGAGCCTTTTTCTGAAGGAAAAAAACATAGGTCAGATTGTTGAAAAAAAAAAAAATGATTGAAAAATCAAAGATCACAACCAGACTATAATATGGGAGCAAAACTTGCATCCTGCGCGGGGATATGAAGTTCATACTCCCAGGCCATCCAATATTCTGATACCTGTCAACAAAAAACATGATATTAACATGGGCAATGCCCATTTTTGCGGGTTAAACCCGTTTCTCCTTATCACTCTCCTCTCTCTCTCTCTCTCTCTCTCTCAATACCTAAGCTATCTGTTGCCGCAACAAACCTATTTTCATCTTCTCTAGCTAAAGAAATCATCGAAAAATGAACAGCAAACCCATGCTATTATGGGTTTGTTGAGAATGAATCAAAAGTAGCTTAGTGCCAGCTTGTTCCGTCTTTTTAAAAACAAGTAGGGAGAGAGAGCTATGGAGAGAGTAGTGAGATTCATTTTTCGATCAGAAATTTCTTTCCAAGATTCATCTAAATTCGATTATTAAGAACAAGTCTCAATCTTAGTGAGGCAGGAAACAAGGAGAGAGAGAAAGAGTTGTGACCAGAGTGTTCTTGCTGTTCATTTTTCAATCATTTCTTTAGGTTTTTCTGTAGGTCAGAAATTTCTTAATGTCCTAGAATCATCTAAATTTGATTACTCAATTCAAAATTCTTGCAATCTACAACCTTCTTCCATCTTTTTATGAACAAGTCCCGATCTTAGAGAAGATGGAAACAAGGAGAGAGATTAAGAGAGCGCTAGAGAGAGAGAGTTGAATGAGTGTTCTTGCTGTTCATTTTCCGAATGGGTTTGTTTTGCTAGAGAAGATGAAAATGGGTTTGTTGGCGCGGCAGATAGCTTAGGTATTGAGAGAGAAGAGAGTAAAAAGGAGAAACGGGTTTAACCCGCAAAAATGGGTATTGCCCATCTTAATATCATTTTTTTTTTTGTGGACAGGTGTCATAATATTGGATGGCCACATAGCAGGGAGGATGAACTTCATCCTCCCTGCGCAGGGTGCAAGTATTGCTCATAAATATGGCATGCCTTCTAGCAGAGAACAAAAGAGATTCCCATGCGGTCCCCTAATGAGCTCCTTAATGCCTTGTTTGGCTTCGCACAATAAAAAAGGCAAGTAATGGAACAGTGAAGTTAACACTAACTTGCCAACTATAAACCAAAAAGAAAAAGCAAAAAAAATAAAGAAAAAAGAAAAAGAAAGTCCGAAAAAAGTTAAAAACGGGCAAATTGGCGCGTTCTTCTCTTTCATTTTTCCCATCTTCCCTTTTCGTTTTCTTATTTCTCTCCTTCCCTTTTCGTTTTCTTCCATTATTTCTTTTTTAGCTTCTTTAATCCAAATCCTAATTGTCTCTCCTTTACTTTTGGTTCCATCAAAAGAATATTGCTTTTTAATTCCTTTTTTTATTCAAAACCCTAATTTCTCCCTCCTTTCCTTCGCGTTCCATGAAAATCCTCTATTTTTACTTTTTTATTTCCTTTTTTGAATCAAAACCCAGCTTGCATTTTTACTTTGCAATTCCTTCTTTGAATCAAATCTTGATGGTCATTAGATTCAGTTAACAGTACCTGTTACCAAATTGGAAATATATCAGATTTAAAACTTTCGAAAATTGGCAATGCTTTCCTTCCAGAAATTGCTGATTTCTTCAATAAGATTCTTCTCTTCATCTACGGGAAAGAAATCTACAATGGACTTGAGCTCGTATTTATAGTTTTGTATGTTTGATGGTTGGTAAGGCTTAATAAATGTTATTAATATTGTGCATTTAATAGTATTGTTCATTTATTGTTTAAAATATGGTGAAATTTTTGTTTTTAACTGAACATTGTAGATTTAGAACTGAAATTATGATTATTTCATTTGTCATCTGTTACTGTAAATTATGATATTTTCACTTGAAATTGACATTGGATAAGGGGTAATTTTTAGGGTTTTGTTCTATAATCTTCAATAAGCATTATAGTGAATCTGAAATCTTCCATAATTGATTCTTTGAACTGAGTTGGCTTCATTAGGTACCAATGTGTTATCAAAAATTTTTGGTATTAAATGTATGCGGCAGTTACACATTTCACATGTTATTATTTGATATTTATGAGAAAAAAAATATGGCAAAGTTTAATATTAATTAGTATACTTATCACCTTCATCATCAAAATAAGGTATTTATATAGTGCTCAATAACTAATGTCACACATAAATGTAGCCTAAAAAATTGGAGATATGGGTTGAAGCAAAGGATGAGATGTCGACAGAGACCTGTATACATAAAAATAATAATAATAATAATAATAATAATAATAAATAAATAAAAATCACACTCACCATCACCTTCACCGTCAAAACAAGATATTTACATAGTGCTGACTAACTAATGTCACACATAAATTTAGCCTAAAAAATTAGAGATACCGGTCAACGGCTAAGGTACAAATGCTCTCTGTTCCCTGCACACATTCCACATTGCTTTGAAGGATATCATACTGTGCTTCCATTATATTAAATCTGTTGAATAAGTAATGGCAATATATGAAAGAATTGATGAATTTCCTGAGGCCAGTTTTGAAATAACAACATAATAATATGTTGAATTGACTTATATTTATGTGTGACATTAGTTATTCAGCACTATGTGAATACATTAATTTGAGGGTGAAAGTAGTGAGTGAGCAAATGGAAAATAATACCAAACTTTGTCAAAATTTTTTCAAAGTTAGCCTAAATCACTTCAACCATGGGATGAAACTCTTTAAATTAACATATGAAACTGTGTTTTTGAAAGTAACAGACTATTTTTTTTAGCTTAATTTTTTAAACTGCAGCAAAGCTATTTGTAGTTAAATATTTTTTTAGATACTCTATTTTTTGTTAGGTACTCTTATTTTTTGGCCCTTTTCATTATTTTGGTAAATATCTAGTATTTTGTTTGTTGTCACAAGTTATAGCAATTGACTTTAATCTTTTGATGGAACTTTCACTTGTTGTAGCATTCATACTTAAGTTATCCCAATGGATGACGACTTAACTACTAATGATGTGAGAACAAGCATTCCAATCGTTGCCAAAATCAATATTACCAATAACTTAGCACCTGAAGTTGTTATTCCCACTGAGATGGAATTCACACCAAAATTGAACATACAGTTTAACACTGACGATGAAGCATACGACTTTTACAATGCTTATGGGGGTAAAGTTGGATTCAGTATTCATAAGAATTATTCAAAAAAAAGCCGTACCACAAGAAATATTACAACAAGAAAGTTTGTGTGTTCCAAATAAGGTGTTAGGGTGAAGGACAAGAGGAATGTCCATACAAGAAAGGCCAGGGCTGAAACTCGAATAGGTTGTGGTGCACTAATGCAAATTAGATATGACCGCAAGTAGGGAAAATATGTTGTCTATAATTTTGTAGAATCTCACAATCATCCCATGATAATTTAAGAATGCACACATATGATGCCATCACAACGAAGAATAAGTGTTAAGCAATTGATGTGGACTTGACCTGCCAATCTGGAGTTCCACTTGGTAATGCATTTGAGTTAATGAGCAGGTAGGCTGGTGGGAGGCAATCAATTGGCTACACCAAGGTTGATCAATAAAATTTTCTAAGGACCAGAAGACAGAATGAGTTGGAATATGGAGAGAAGATGTGGCTGATGAATTATTTCAAAATTCAATCTTGTGAAAATCCTTCATTTTTCCACACCGTGCAGTTAGATAACAACGAAATGATAACTAATATCTTTTGGGTAGATTCGAGAATGATAATCCACTATGGGCATTTTAGAGACGTCATAACATTCGACACGACATACAAGCTCGTCCAAAGCAACCGTCTTTTTGCGGCTTTTCTTGGTCTGAATCATCATCAGGAGACTGTTGTCTTTAGACTAGCATTGATGTATGACAAGATTGCCAATTCATTTGCGTGGCTATTTGATTCATTCTTGAATGCAATATCAGGTAAAGGTTATAAATGTAATATATTTTTATCTTCTTTCAATGATTTTGGTCATCCTATATATACATATATTTTAAGCCATTAATAATTGAACATGACCATTTTTGTTTTATCCTTTTTATGTGAAATACTTTTTGAAATGGAGATATTTTATGGGGGCATACTTTTTAATGATAGTTTCAAATAATATAGGGTAAAGTGCAAAAACCCCCCATGAACTTTACTCTCTCTCCCTAAAAACCCCCCTAAACTATTTTTGTTACAGTTAACCCCCTAAACTATCAATTTTTTTGCAAAATTTACCCATCCCTGAAATTCTGTTTGTTTTATCCGGCCAATTAGGCGCGTAAAGAACACATGCTAGCACTCTATTTTTAAAATAACAAAGCTACCCTTATACTATTAAATGTATAAAATCAAAATAAAAAAAACCCCAAATTATTGAAACCCTAAAAATCGAGACTCCTTTTGCCTTTTTGCAAGTTCTCTACGAGCCACACAACCGTCACAAGCCAAACCTGTACACAAAGAGAGAAATATTGTAACAGAGCTTATCTACCAAACCAAAGATAAAGAAAGCTTCAACGAAGGTTTCTTTCACTATAAATCAAAGAAATTTCACTTATAAGGGTTTGTAG